TGATACCACTGATGGGTTTCGAGCAATACATCAATCCTATGGTGTACATGAAAACCCTAATAGCTTTGGATCTAGTTTGTCTAATGAACATGCAATTGATAATCCAAAGCCATAAACCCTAGATCTAATAAACTATAACTGAAATAAGGGTTTAGATCTTACCTTTGATTGTTATATAGCAATAACAATCAATCCTTGGCTTCAGAAAGCTTAGTGCCTCAAGTGTTGCACCTCTAATGGAGTCACAAACACCACTAAGCAATTGGATGAAGGAGAGAAGAGAGATGAGGCACCAAAAACGGCTGGAAACCCTAATCCAAGTGTTAGCCACGTTTTTGGTGCCCAAGGGTTCCTTATATACTTAGGCTATTAGGGTTATCCAACAAGGAAACCCTAATTTGACTGCTTAAGCCCTAAGCAGCCCATGGACCCCTTCTGGAACATGCCTTGGACGATTTCTAATGGGCTTCCCCATAGAATTCGTCCAACCTATTATTCCAAGGTGATCCATAGCCCAATTGCAATTATCCTATAATTACAATTCCAGTCCCCTAAGTTTAATTAATCTCTTTTAGCCACATAATTAATTCTTTATTAATTCTTGACTAATATTAATTAAACAATATGATTTCTCCTTTAATATATTATTCTCATAATATATTAATAAATCATAATTAAACCTTTCTCTCCTTAATTCATCCTACATATTGCTATGGTGAAGGCAACCCAAAAGGACCATGCTCATAATCGGGTCAAGTACATACCAAAATAGTTATGGACTTAGATACTAATCCAACAAACATATCACATAATATCTCATAACACATAATGTAAGGGTATTTTGGGAAATCACCGTTGGGGCGCTGGCTGATTGTACACACTGCTCCGCTCTGCTTTTCTCAAAAATCTTTTACTCTTTTAGAAAAATTGTTTCTTTTATGAAAATTTCTCTCAAATCCTCAGTTTGAGTTCAGATACGCCCGAAGGTGCATCCGAATCTCTCAAACCAAGGCTCTGATACCAACTTGTAACAACGTAAAATTTAAAACAAATTTTCATTTTTCAACATAATAAAAACATATATAATATTCCCAGAATCTCATGATCCAATGTCATCATAATGAAACATATCCCATAATCTCAAAACAAAATCCTCTGCCAGTGTGTACAAATCATGCCGGCGCCTTCCCGTGATCCTCGCTGGTACCTGAAACACATATCACATAACACGGTAAGCATAAATGCTTAGTGAGTTCCCCAATATACCACATACAACACATAAGCCACTCGAGGCTATAACTCGGTATGACCCTCTGGTCAATGTGTCTCAGCGGGACCCTCCAGTCACGTAGCTCGTTGGTCCCTCCAGTCCGGTCTAGCTCGTTGGACCCTCCGGTCCGGTCTAAATAGTTGGACCCTCCGGTCCGGTCTATATAACACATAACATACATATAACACAATTCAAATAAACTCAAACATACACATAACACATAAGATCCTCCGGTCTGCACATAGATACCACTCCTAGGGCTTCTTATGGTGAAATAGCTCCTAAAATGGCAACCTAGGTTCAAAACTCCATTGGAAATGCATAAAGCTGGATGTTTGGGACTCTCTGGACCTCTTAAGGTCCATATCTAATGCTTATTCCACAAAGGGACTTCAAATACCCCAAAATCCTTTGAAGACAAGGGTTAAGAAACCCTAGATTCATGAAATCTACACCATACAGAAAGAGAGGGTCGATTTGTTACCTCAAAGTGAAGCTCCTTGCTCCAAGATCTCAGAATGGCACCCTCCTCTAGTCCTCCTTGCTGGAACCCTTCTCTTCCCTTTGCAAAATCACACCAAAATGCACTCAAAATCTCAAGACTCTCTCACAAGCTCAATGGGCGTTTAGGGTTTCTTCTCAGAGAGATGTGGCCGCAAATGAGGCTATAAGTGCCTTTAAATAGGCCCCAAACCCGGGGATTTAGGGTTTCCACTTACAGCGCATACTCGGCGAGTCTACTCTTGGACTCGTCGAGTAGTTCATTAAACTCACGTGGCCACCCCGCTTCTACTCGATGAGTTATAGCGCCAACTCGTCGAGTAGACCAATGATCCTCAAAATAATTAATTCAAAATAACATATCTGAAAATCCGGATGTTATACAATGGGGAAAATAAATTACATCTAAAAGATGAGGAAATTCAAATTTCTTCAAGTGGGAATGTTGAAGATTACCATATTACCCTTTTCATTTTTAACATTAAATATGAAAAACCTCTGTCACTACTCGCGACCACCTCGACCGCAACCTTCGCCACCACACCCACCACCTCCACTACCACCTACCACCACTACCACCACTACTCATCACCATTAATGTCGTCGCCACTGCCACCACCTTCGCCACCACCACCCACCACTACCACCGCTTCCATTACCACCATCGCCATCACCGACACCACTACCATCACCACCGTCACCACCACCACCACTACCACCACTACCCATAACCTTCATTACCACCTACACCACCACCTATAAATACCGTTGTTACTACTAACTCTATAATCACCACCATCACCTCTATTGCCACCACCACCACCACTAACGTCGTCGCCACCTGCGCCCACCACCACCACCACCACCACCACCTCCACCACCGACATCCACCACCACCACCGCCGCCACTATCACCCACCGCCACAACCACCATTGCCTCTACCATCAACACTAGTGATGTCGTTACTACCACCACCTCCACCTTCATCACCACCACACACTGCCACCGTCACCACCACCGTCACTTCTGCCACCATCGCCACTGCCACCACCACCGTTTACTATTTTTTATAATTTATATAATATATTTTTACATATAATTATAAAACAAAGTAAAAATAAGCAAAAATCAAGAATGGTAGTTCTGTCATTTTACACTATTCCAATTCCATTTTCCGCCAACCAAACAAAATATAAAATTGGATTCAAATTCCATTTACTACTAACCAAACATAATATTGAATTAGATTCCAATTCAATACAGATTCCAATTCCTCAACAGATTCTAATCCTTCTAAAACGTTATGTGAACCAAACGCCGCCTAAAACATAATATTGAATTAGATTTCAATTCAATACAGATTCCAATTCCTCAACAGATTCTAATCCTTCTAAAACGTTCTGTGAACCAAACGCCGCCTAAAAGCTTTCATCATACCAAACACATTCTATATATGATAAAAGATTATTGTTAAAAATAAAACGTTTTATGTTTTAGTAATAAATAAGTTTGATCAAATTTGGTAAAGTTATCAAGTTGCCATTGATTATGCTCATCACTTATAGATAGATTTATGTACCTTTACAATAAATTAGTAATTTAATGTATACACTGCCTATGGCATACGCATAAATGTTCCTCCTTTCCTCTTTATATAACAATAAAAGAATGCAAATTGTACTATTTGAATTGTTTACGTAAACCTGTTTCAAAATATGCCATGTAAAAAGATAAATTATCGAACATTAATAATATTTTTATATAATCAAAGTTTGAACTTTTAGACATTCAATATAAAATTCCATACCTCAATCGTTAAAATCCTAGAACTCCATTGTAAAAATAAAGCATTTACCACCTCAAACATATGTAAAAATATGTTGTTAATTTAATTAATCAAGCCATGAGATACGGATGTGATTATAAAAAGAAAAGAAGTAGCGGTGGGGGAGTGAAAAAAAACAAGTGACGTGGCAGCATGGGAGAATTAACGGAGTCCTCTACTCTGCTTGTGTCACGTGAGGTGCTCGCATTACACAATATCTGCTGACTCATCACCAACCCCTTCCAAAATATCATTAATATAAACACACATCACGTGTCACGGATTCCTCTTCCTTCCCTCTCCTCTACCTCTGCCGGAAAACGTTACCGGAATCCGTTTAACGGTTTTTCTGTTACGACATACATGATTCGATTCCCATCAAATCCCATTCCCAAGGATTCTACTTCCATCGTACTTAACATCATAACATGTAATCATTAATCATTAATATTATTCAACTTTTTAATAAAAAAGTAATAAACTGATTAGACAAATTGTATCTTAAAATATACTCCAATAACAATTAGATTTTGAAAATGAATTACCATATTTAAAAAATAATTTACACAGATATACACGCACCGTTTCACACACACATGATTTTTTTTTTGATGAATTTATTTATTGTTCTCAATTCTCGCATAGTAATAAAAGTAAAAGATCGCATGTTATCTTATTGGAACTTTACTAAAATGATGTTGCTCGATTTTTGAAATGGATATTTTGATATTTTATTAATATGAAAAAAAAGTTATATACGAAAGTAAATTTAAACGTAATCTTTCTAAAAAAAGAAATGGTTGGAAAAAAATGTTATTTGAATTTCAAATTAGTATATTTTCTTATTTTGGTGTAAAAAAAAAATCAATATAAAAATTCTTGGTGATAGGACCCTATAAAATAGCAAGTTGGGTGCAGGCTTTCCGTCTTCACTCTTCACTCCTCACGCCACTTTCTTTCTCTCTCCTTCTAAACCTCAATAGCACGCCGGAAAGTTCAGACACCGGAGCTCCTCCTAGCTCCACCTTCCGCCTCCCTACTCCGTACTTTCCCTTTACCCTTTTGTCTCACCGGAAATAGCAAAGTCATAGATACACTCTCTCATACCATCACCTCCGTACACACTCACTGACCTCTGCAACATCGATTTATTCCTCGATTCCTCTCCCTTTTCCTTTTACCGGTAAAAAGGTTACCCCTCTACATTGAGCCCCTGTCTCTATTTTTCCATGGCCTCCGTCGCACGAGTACTCTTAACGCTTTCTCTCTCTACATAGAAACATCTTTATTCTTCAATCGATAAAGGAATCTCCTCTTTTTGCACGCTCTGTTCCTATTTATCTATCTTCCTCTTGCACCCAATGCGAATCTGATTACTGATTAATTCACTGAAAGCAGAGTAAATGGGTAAACCAGAAAAGTTCGATTGTGTCAAGCTCACTGAGCACAAAACCCGCACTACAATGGTTACTAAGTCGTTGCTCACATCAGTCGGAGAAAAATCCACCAATCGGGAAACGAATGCCATCTCCACCGGTCCTAGAGTTGTTAGGATATCAGTGACTGATGCCTATGCAACTGATTCTTCCGGAGACGAAGGGGGTGAGTGTGATGGCCGGCGCAGAGTGAGGAAGTTTGTTAATGAAGTTACAATCGAGACTCGTTCGCGAGAAGATTTGAGAAACGGGAATGGAAACAAAAGCGTGAGTAGAACGGCGTCTAGTCGGAGGAAGAAAGTCGTCGGAAAAGTTAACTCCACGGCGGAGAAGAGGTTAAAAGTTAATACAGGTAAAAGGTTTCGCGGCGTAAGACAACGACCGTGGGGGAAATGGGCGGCTGAAATCAGAGATCCGATGCGACGTATACGGCTGTGGCTGGGTACATATGATACTGCAGAAGAAGCTGCCATGGTCTACGACCACGCTGCTATCCAACTACGTGGACCCGACGCGCTTACTAACTTCACTGTGCCACCACCTGCAACTCTCCAGTTACCGGAGAAGAAGCCCTCTTCGGTGACTTCTGATTACAACTCCGGCGACGACTCTCACAATAACAAAGCGGCATCTCCGAAATCTGTTCTACGCTTCGCCTCCCCTTCCACAGACGACTCAACCACCGAATCAACTCATAACGACGCTGGAAACGAAGCTTCAGATACCACCAAAGATGATGATGCATCGGCGTTGGAGAAGTTCTCCGGTTTCCATGCTTTTGACGCTCCTCTTTCCACCTCCGATCTGTTCGATTTCCCGGACATCATACCCGGCATGTTCGACCCTACAAGCCTGTCTGGTACTCCGTTTCAAGACTCCGATCCTGTGAACATGTTCATCGATTCCGCCATTGATGTCGGGTTTGGTGCTTGGCCCGCTGATGATTACTTTAATGATTTTGGAGATATATTCGGGTCGGATCCGCTCGTTTCTCTCTAGAACCGGGTTTCGGATATCTGAGGAAATTTTTGTACGAATTTAGGAAGTTAATTATTTGTTTATTATAAATATATAAATATATAAATATTTAGGTAAACTCCGTTACCGTTAATAGTAACGGACAAGTTGTTAAAGTGTGTTGAAGTTAGTGATGCCGTTAAGGCAAGGCACGTGCTAGTGCACGTGAGTGAAAAATGTTAATGGTACTTCGAATTAGGTGGAGGAATGAAATGGAATGAATGCTACGTGCTTTGATCATGCTTTATCTGATTTCTACCCTATTTTTTGCAATCGTATTTAATGCGTATACCTTTATAACAGTCATGATGCATGGTGTACAACATCACTTTACTCTTTAATTTTATTATTTTATATATATACTACTCTTATACTACTACCGATATTGTTTTTTTCTTGTTTCCATATTGTTGTGAACTTGTGATGGCGTCAATGTGAATCTAATACGAGTAGATATGAGGGAAATAGGAATAAGAATGAATTTGCTTACGGTATCAAATGACGTGAGTAATTTTATGGGTATTGGAAATGACGATTATTTTAAATGAAGGTAACCGATTATGCATGAATAGAAATTTGGTGATTCGAGATCCATGGTACAATTGTTTTGTATTTATATGGTACTGGAAGGTGCAACGCGATCCGAAGTAGGCTTTAGTAAATGTTGAAAAGATGACATTTAGGTCCCGTTTGATAGTTTCTGTCTGGGAAAGTGCTGTCTGGGAAAGTTTTCTGACTGGGAAAGAAACCATGCTGTTTGATTGTATATCTGATTGACTGTGCTGAATGATGAAAAAAAAGTAATAATTCAATAAAAAATAATTTAAAAAAAAAGTTATTTAAAAAAAATTAATAATCCAAGAAAGAAAGAAAGAGGCCGGGTTTGGTGCATAATTGTCTTTCCAGTCCATTCAGCCAGAAAGATATGATTTTGGAGCTTTCTGGGAAAAACATATCTTACCGGGAAAGACCTTTTTTTTGTGCAAATCAAACAGTCTTTCCGATCCATTCAACCAGAAAGATCTGTTTGGACCTGGAAAGATGCGTATCAAACGGGGCCTTAGGTTAAACTGGATCTGAGTCAATGATAAGAAAATAGTTTGTTGTATCCCTTGAGTAGAGCACAATAATGTATTCCGATCTTCAAGTTTTTATGGTGGTCGAGGTGAGCAAAGTCATGAAGACAAAGTGTAGGGTTCTAATGATTTTAGATGATTGTGGAGATGAATATTGTAATGGTAGGAAAATAGTTTGTTGCATCCCTTGTGTAGAGCATAATAATGTATTCTGATATTCAAGTGGTGGTTGAGGTGAGCAAAGTCATGAAGACAAAGTGTAGGGTTCTAATGATATTAAGGAGCAAGATGGAAGAAACAAAACGAAACACTCGTAGAGAAGTAATAGCCAACATTATATTATGATCAAGAAAGACAATTGACTTTCAACTTTGAGTTTCTCTGCACTAGCAAAAAAAGAAAAAAATAACAATCATAAACTATTTTATCAAACAAAGAATCATTCATCAGACTTTTCATATTCAAACACCAAAGAATTTATGAAGTTCCACATCACCCATAAACTAGTCATAACAACCGATTCCAAACACAATCTTTGTAAAGTCGTCATCTTCACCATATCCACCCATGGAAATTATTCTCTAACCGTAGAAAACATTGGAAGGTGGAAATCTCACCAACGACCTATCTGAAACCAAATCACGTTCAACGCTTCACATTGGATCATAACGTGATCAATAAGCTCCACCCAATTCTGACACATATGGCATAATATAGATTATAAATCAATACCCTTGTTAGATTCTTCGAGTCTACACCCTATCCCAATACGTTCTCTAAGTCAAAATATTAACTTTCTTTTGAGTAAATATATTCCACGTAGTCACATAACTTTTCACATCAAGAGTAACCTTAATCTTGCTAAAGGTAGAATATATTGTGAAAACACCCGAAGAATCAAGACTCAAAGATCATTTATACGGTTCAAATGAAAAGCCAAATGAGTGTGATAATTGGGTTAAATACAAAAATCAGACCTCTTCACTCCACCCTAATCTATCGACACCAATACCAACACCATATAAAACTTATGATCTGGTCAATAATTATTCTAGTTCTATCAATTTTCAACAAATAAAGTCTTGGAAATCTATCACGAAGAGGGCTCTCTCCAAGCTAAACATCCGTCAAAAGGATGGTATTGGAGTCGTTACCAACATTTTTCAATAAAAAGAGTGTAACTAAGGGAGTTTTTTTTTTAAATGACTTATTGGCTTTTTTCAAAAAGCCAATAAGTTAAAAATGTGTTTGGTAAAGACTAACTTTTAGGCATAAAAATGACTTTTTCAAAAAACCAAGAATACTTGGCTTTTCCAAATAGTCAATAAGAAGTTTCAAATGAACTCCCAAACACGCTATAAATGACTCTTTCATGCATTTGATATATCAAAATCACTATTCTAGACCAAGTACATTGCAACTTAACCCATCTTCAAGACCAAAACTACATTTCCTACCATGAACAAAACGAATAACTTTAACCCATAAATCATGTGAGTGAATGACAAACCTCCACTACCATTTATTTCAACAACACCAGATTAATGGAAACATTGTTATACCTCTTATAGTTGTAATGAGACACAAAGTGGTGTCAGCTGCAGTTATTACTTGGGATATAGTTGCCATTCTTACTCGATTTTTCAACATTTATCTAGTAATGGTTTGAATATGTCTTGATAATCTTAGGGATGTCGAAGATCTAGACCACATATAAAAATGTATGATTTTCTAGGGTGTCAATTAGGTTAGCCATGATGTATGTATTCAAATGTTGGTTGATGAATGCATATAAGAGGAAAAAGGAAGTTGCAGAAATGAGAATGTTGTAATGGAATATTCTTGGATGGATTCTAAGTGTGATAGTAAGAGATGTTTAAGAGGAACCAAGATAATATAGATTGTGTTCATATGAGCATGAGTATCTTTACAATCTTAGGGATGTCCAAGATTGGATGATGGGGTACACCATTAAATTATATTGTTATTGTATGATTCATTAGTAGAAATTAAATGGAAAATTTTATAGGGGGTCAATTAGGTTAGCCATGTTGTATGTATTCGAATGTTGGTTGATGAATGAGTATAAGAATAAAGGAAGTTGCGAAAATGAAAATGTTGTGATGGAACATTCTTGGATGGAATCCTAAGTGTGGTAATAAGAGATGTTTAAGAGGAACTGATATAATAGTGTTCGTATGAGTATATTGAAAAGATGATATTGATGGATTCGGTCAGTCGGGTGGAGACAGAAATGGTAGGTGGTGCGAGAAGGAGAGGATCTTACAAATAAGTGAGAAGATAATGTAAGGTTAGTGTGGAAGGATGTGGATTTCTCCAAGGACACAACCTCAAATATTAGGGTATGAAGACTTAGTATTAGAATAGTGGAGTAGCTTGGGACCCTAGACACCTTCCTTATAGGATCGTGCTTTGGTTTGATATTTTGTTGTTACTGATGGAATTCGTAGGTTACAAGTCTATGTAGAAAATTCACTTAAAATACTTAAGGGTAAATGCAACCTAAAGATCTATGTCCTTACACATTAATAGCAACATACTATGAAACTATAAGAACCTTATTCTATAATCGAGAATTACAAATTAGGTTACATACCTTTGATATTGTTATAGCAAACAATACCCTTGATTCCCTTGTAGAACTTTAGAAATCTTAGCACCAAAAGTATGATGTCTCTAATGGCTCACACCCAAACCCTAGAAACTATAATACTTTTAATAAGAGAGGAGATTTTCGGTCATGCCTTCACAAGAGAGAGATTGCCGAAAATGCAAGGGTTATGACCCTTTATATAGCTGCATGGAAACTTTAGAAACCCTAAATTTGAACATAAAATAATATTATTTCAAATCAGTGAATATCCAGTATCGTTATAACAATTGGAAGCTCCCAGAATCCCATAAAGGGATCCCCAAAACCGTCCAAGCATGGAAGGTTCTGGAATCTCTTAATTGCTCAGCTATTAAACAAATATAAATCAGCCCTTGTAATTCGAATTAATTTCAATTGACCCTAAAACTAATTCCAAAATAATTTTGATCAATTCTAATCAATTTCTAATTAATTTATTAATCATAATAAATTAGTAATTAACAAATTATTTCTTCTTTCTCCAAATGTCATTCTATACTATTTCTAGTTATGAGGGCAACCCAAAAAGGACTTTGCTTTTAATTACAAAATATACCAATTTAGTTATGAGCTTAGACACCTTAATCGAACAGTTATACCTCTCACATTTTTCCATGTCATTTTTTATTACATATTTTTTAGCTCGGTGATTATGTAACTATATTTCTCTTTTGTTGTGATGTCAGTATGAGAGTTAAATTTTGCTTAGTTTTTTCTTCTTACTTTTACTTACACCCTTTTGGTTTGTGCTTATCGTATGGTGAAGGCCATTGATGAAAACTAGCATTCTATCTACATATGGAGGTAAGGTTGTAAGCATCTACCTCATCCTTTCTTCATTGCTATGAGATATATCATGGTGATGTATGCACCATTAGTTCTAACAACTCTATCCATCCTGGAGTTTTATGCCCTTTCTAACAAAACCAAATTCAATGTTTAAAACTTGCTTTTTGAGTTGAACCGATGCGGTAATCGGGTCATGGTTTAACCGTTTCCACCGTCGGGTCAAACGGATTTTCAGAAAGACTTATCAATGCTACAACAGCTACAACATCACTCATTCATGATACTTCCTCAAGACTTGCCAATGCTACTAGACTAAAGGTGGAGTCCTCCGTAATATTCCCATTAGCAGTGATTGTTAGAAAATAAGGGAACCCATCTAGTGGTAGTGTAACATGTAGGCAAACAATTCTGATAAATCAAAGCCCGAGTTGAAGCAACAGAATAGTCTCCAGAACCAGATAACC